GTCTTACTATTTGCACGTTATACAATCGATGTCTTTGTGGAAAACGATTATTATACACTTATGCAAATAATCACTGGTTAAAAAGTATATAGGTAACGGCACAAACCGTAACGGAATCTATAATATATACTTACGTCAACAACGTAGGTGTGTGTCTGGCTGTAGGTACGAATTTTATAATACATATTCCACGTCATATACATATTATAATATGTAAGTACAGTGTATTTCTTTGGAAACTATCGAAGTACAGATATTGCGTCGTTACGCAATAACAATATGTGTACGTTTTTTTCAGTCCTTTTTTTGAATAGGCTCGCGTTTATTTTTAGTCTCGTCTTAAAATTTGAATAACATGTGGCCGTGAACGCGGGTCGCCGCAGCGTTTAAATGAATAATTTACAGTGGCTATCGGATTATTCCGAAATAGAAAAATTGCACCATAATACATTCGGTCGACGGACGAACGTCCGGATTATGCGTATCGCCAGCTATATACCTGTATTGTGCAGGTATATAAATGGTGTATAATATAATAGTGTGTTGTTCGAGTGGTAACAAACCTGAACGCGAGCCCCACCGCGTCTGTGCGTTTCCTTTGGACAATATTATTATAATATTATTTTTGCTGTATTATGTTAAAAAAGTATACTCACGACCACACAACCAGCTGTGCCGAGTGGTAGTAACCCCGGGGCGGACGATTCGTCAAACGAGGGCATCGTGCACGAATTCGACGAAGGGAGCTCATACCTAGAATGTGGTACTCCCCTAAAAAATAAATAGGTAGTAACAACATATTACTAAATGTTATTAGGTAATCCAAATAAAAAAAAATTTGTGGAGTTATTTTTAAAATTTTTTTTTTTATATTGTGATTCGTTGTTGGGCCCAAATTCGCATTTGCGCCAAAGCACAACAATCGCTACACGCTGCAATTACTAGCATAATAATTAACAAGCTACGGCACTGTCTACGGTGACTGTTGTTTATGGAGTACAGTGATGCACTGCATGCACATAAACTCATAAATGCACTCCCGAAAAGACGATTATTCACACAGGAGCTCAGTTTAACAAAATACTTCTCTGGTCAAGATCGAGACGAAACTTCGATTGCTGCAGATGACTATTACCGCATGTTATAAAATAGCTATAACTGATTTTCACGGATTTCATTAAAAATGCTGCCGACTTGAAAAGTTGCCAATTTTTTTAAAGTACCGTACTATATTATATATTATTTTATAACACTACACATCAAATCGAAATTTCAGTCATATAGATTATATAATTTTTTTATTCCTTATTAGGCAATATTATAATATATATATATATTATATTATATAATAATACCTATCACTATAACTGAAATTCTGTATACGATTAAACGAAATAGTTTTCGCCTCCGATAGCAATATGCCTAGTGTCTAAGGTAATACAAGATATAACATATGTTTATTATTATTATAGGTAATGCGTTAATACCGCAACTATTACCCATTAGGTATATACTTTTACCTATATCATGTCCAACCGTATACCTATTACGTATTTATGTGATAACCTGTATGTATAACCTTCCCCTAAACATGCGTTAAGCACAAATCAACATCACAATAGGTTATGTTAGGTTAGTATATTAATATACTACCTAACCTACACGGCAATCCTCAATACACATAAGAATACGTATAAAGCTATGTACAATAGCTTATTCAAAGCTCATGAACATAAATAACAATAATGTGTTGTATTCCTTAATTGTAACAACTGTTACAATATTGTTACACAATTGTTCTTGCTTATGTTTTTAATTGAATCGTTTGAGCTTTATATTATTATGCTTTTCGACGTTTGAACGCCTGATTGGGTATTATAAACTCACAACTTTATTACCTATATTAAGCACCTACACGTGAGCAACAGAGCAACACGCTCGCAAGTCGCACAAGTATGAGTTCGTGTACCTATTGAATGTTCGTTCGAGAGTGTGACCGAGTGAATGAGTAATGACTATTACCGAAAGCGATAAAAAAAAAAATTTAAAGTTAATGTTAATGCGTGGTGTAGTCAACTTAACGTACACGCGAGTGACGAAGGGAATATATAGGCGTAGTAGTCGTCATCGTGCCCTGCAAAGGGTTTATCGTAAAAAAACGTAAAACCTCCTCTCTTCGACGGCTTTAGTACATATACCTACACATACCCAATACCAATATAGCTACTTAATGATATTATAAAGACTTTATTAAACGCTGTTCGTTCGTTGGAGGACTGCGCCCCTCAAAAAAGTCAATTACTGATTCTATAATATTATTATGTATATAGTCGTTATTATTATTAGGTATCGGAAACAGTGCTGCGACAGTAGCTATACAACCCATTAAAATACAAATCGAGAATCGAGGAATAAAAAAATAACACGCACACCATGTTTATTTCATTATTTTTTTTATTTTTTATTTAATTTTTTATTATTATCATCGTTTGAATTCTTACAGAGAATTTTCAAAACACACCGTAACATCTTTTAACATAATATTATCTATTTACAATGGAAAAAAAAAATTTTAATTTAAAACAGGCATATAATTTTTTGTATAGTATATAATATATATTAATATATTATATATATATATATATATATATATATTCATATTATAATATTAAATATTATAGTAATTAAAAAAAAATTCCTGCAGGTTTCCTCTTCACGGTATAATATTATGTTATAATATCATTATTCGTGTGTAAAACTGTGAAAATATTTGTATATACTCGTATTATATAATAAACCTTGTAGATAAACTATACGCGTTTAAAATGTAATGTATATTATTATGTACAAATTATTATCATTGAAACATATAATTTATTGTTTTGATTATAATAATTTATTAATTATGCTCTCGATCGATACTCTAATGATTCGAGACAAAAAAAATATATCATGAGTGACAGCAACATGACAAGACTAATAATTATAAATTAATATATTAATATATTTTTTTTTCTATACAGTATACACTATGATAGAATCGTCTTTCTACATCTAGTTTACATTTTTTTTTCTTTTTACAACAAAAATCAAACAATAAATATTGCACTTTTATAATAGTTAAATAGTTTTGAAACAGAATATCGTTATCGACATAGCAAAAAATCAAAAAAAAAATCTGGAAACTGTTCATGATTTAAAAAAAAAATAGGAGAATAAAATAATTAAAGAAAGAACAATAAAATAAGAAAACAAATCATAAAAAAACAACTAGGTATTTTAATGTTTAAATATCTTGTTCTTAGAAACTAAAACATAATAATGATAATAATATAATAATAATAATAATAATAATAATAAAATAAAGAAAAATCACAGACTCTGGGTTAACACATTTACAGAAAATAGTTACAGCGTAATTTATAATATATTTTATACCTTTTTATATTATTTAAGTATATGTAATATGTATATATTATATAGAATATTTACATTTTGTTGTTTCATATAATATGATAAATAATTTACAATAAAACCTTATAATGTAGTAAAAATACTAATAATATAAACACGATAGTTGTACGTGTGCGACGACGTATAAATATAATATAATATGATATATTATTATAACGATTTTAAAATTACATTGTACATTTTTTTTCTTAATTTCGTGAAAACCATTTGTTTAATACATTTGTAAAATAATAATCGATCTAAGCGAATGATGCGACGAAAATCGTCGATATCGATCGCATGCGCTCAAAATAATTATCGTACAAAAAAACTTTACGATATACACCAGACACGTCATAATATTATTATAATATGTAGTTATTTGCGCCGTATAATGTGCGATACGTATAGGTGCTAATAATATTTTACACATCCGATCGATCCCGCCCGATTGTCTCCTCCTGTTATATAATCATTTTTTTATTATCGAGCATTATCGTCTCTCTATTGCACAAACAGTTATTGCTACGATGTATGTAACAAGTATTATTACAATAATTGATAGGTACCTCATATAATATAGTTCCTACACCGCGGCACACGAACCGCGGGTGTTATCTATTTATTATATTCTGCCGAGTATTAAAATATAGTCTTCTAGGTTGTTTACTTTCCTGTTTTCGTGCTCAGGTACACAACACTCATATCTTTACGTTCACGCGGTCCAGAAACAGTATATAGCAGTTGGGTGTAATATTATTATGGGGTGTCTGTATCACGCATATTATATTATACAAACCGAAGATTTTACGATTGCTCGCATTTAAAATCGGTCCTGCAATGAGTGTGTAATTTATTGTCATAGCATATTATATAACGATTATTATTATATTATTATACTCGGTCGGGGTCAACTATAACGTAGGTTATGATATAACACGAAATCGAACAAACGGTGTCGAGAGAAAGGTTTTTTTTTGATTTTTTTGTTTTTTTAATACGACGTGCTTCCATTAGGTACATTTTATTATATTATTATTTAAAAACACATTTATACAATACTATTACACGATACAACATAATATTATTTAAATTATGATGTCCAAGCGATCAAATTAAATACAAATCGCAATAATAAATGAAATAAAATAGTATTCACCTATAAAATATAAATATATAAATACATAATTATAATATATTATATATATTACTTTTTTTTTTAATATCGATATTGTACACTTTTTACACACATATAATATTATAGTTACAGTGTTATGACGGCAGATATGCGGAGTCGCGAATTTCACGCATACCCGCCCGTCGTGTAACGTTCGCGTGACGCGTTTTCGCACGTCTTACGAATTTTATTTTTCAAAATTTTTTTTACGTATTATTAATTTAACGGTTGTCTTACCTATCGCGTGCTCGCCGCTATAAGCGACGCCGAGGCCGTTGTCCGCCGCCGATGTGGATGAACCGACATCCGGCGAATGCGACGACGACGACGGCGCCGCCTAAACGGAACCGTTAAATTAATAATACGAATCTCAGGTGGTGAGGTGCGTGAAGGGGTACGGGGTGCCGTAGGGCTGGGCGGCCATGTGATAGTGGTACGGCACCATGTTCATGCTGGCCATCTTGTGCTCCTTTTTCCACTTCATCCGCCTGTTCTGGAACCATATCTTTATCTGCCGCTCGGTCAGGCACAGCGCGTGCGCGATCTCGATCCTCCGCCGCCTGGTCAGGTACCGGTTGAAGTGGAACTCTTTCTCCAGCTCAAGCGTCTGGTAACGGGTGTACGACGTGCGCTGCCGTTTCGTCTCGCCGTTGGCGTTCACCGTACCTGCAAACATCGAACGCAAAACGCATGAGAACAAATGCTTATTACAATAATATCATAGGTGGTGGTGATCACGATGGGTGTCTGTCAATTATTGTCATAAGCTGTCTACAGTAAAGGTATTATACGCTGTATAAATTACTTGCGAAAGGTGGGTACTATAGGAAAGGACAAACATCAAATTTTGGGCCGCTGTACTAAAATATGTTTTTGCGGGCCCTATATACAAGACTTCCGATAGACACAACGATACTGCGGTGCTCCATACACTTTACTACAAAATTACTTAATATATTATTACATACAATTATATCTTCAAATACCTATGAAAAATCCATTTAAACGGGCCCTAAAAATATAGCCAGGCCCCTGACCCCACGTCCAACCACCCACCCTCTTGTAAAGACCCTAGGTATATTATATTGTAATATCATTGAAGATTATAAATAATAAATATTATACTACTAAGTTCTAGTATTTATCAACCTGTATATTATATGAACATAATATAGAGGTAAGTATAAAATCGTCATATTATAATATAGGTATTTTCAACTCGTAAGTGCTAACAAAACAAGTTGTGAAAGTATTTTCGTTATATACCTCTATACGTACTATAGTTGTTAAATATTAATACAAAATTAAGTTGAGAGTATTATTAGATTATATTATAATTTTAAGTCTTATGTCGATAGTCAAAATAATACTTTTTGGAACACCAGTCAATTTAATATACTATTTTTAATTCATTTTTAATTTCAGCATCGTTGATTTCACGTTTGATGTTATAGTTTTCAGCTGCATTCGATCATTTTAAAGTCATCTTCAGTTGTAGAATAAAATTGACTTAATCGTACACACATAGAAATATTGGAGTTATTTTAATATATTAATCATGGTGTCATAGACGTGCTTTTCAAAGGTTATAATATATCTACATACAATATGTATAGATTTGAATATTTGTTTTCACAAGTTATTGAAATGGAAATCCAAAGGAATTTATTATATGGCGAAAACAGAAATGACGATTATGGGTTGCAGCAGCATCTAGGATTTGGAATTAACAATATCGCTACTATTATTACACATATAGGAGTATCGCGTATAAATATAATATTATGTGTGGACATATTTTGATTTACGAGTGCGCAAATTGCAAGGTTCGTCCGTTTACAAGTAGCTAAATATAGTATATACGATATGCACATATATAATAACATGTATATTTATACATTTACGTATAGGCTGTATAGGTATACCAGAGTGTTATTATGTGAAATTTTTTACTGAAGTACAACACAGAAGTCGTTGCTGTATAACATGTATAATAATACGTATGCATATATATGTGTTCAGTATATAATTTGTGTACACCATCAAGTATATAAATGGACCCAACCACAGATATATACATTGAGCGAGCAGACAATACGACGTAATTGACTGTTCGTCACTGGTGCTCGAAACACAGCTCGCGCGTACACACTGTAATCGTTATATACATATAGATATAAATATATATTTAGTAAAAGACGAGTATATGTTATATATAAATACACCTATGAATATATAGGTTTACAAGCATAAAGGAATCGCTGAAAAGCGCGCAGTGCAGTTGTTATAAATATCTCGTATAATTAGACAACCTGTTAAACGGTGTAACGAGCATTTTTTCAACACGTCTCGTGACAACGTAGTTACTAGTTATATATTATTATCATACGTATAGCTAATGTGTGTTATAATAATAATTATTATTATTATTGTAATACGTCAGAGATTTGTAAGCGTTAATTGTTCGGAGAGCGCAAGAGCGCCACGAAGTCTGCTAACGTCTTTATTACTATATTTTATATACCTGCACGTAATAATATATTATTGTACTCAATCGACTATATTATAATATCACTGGTGAAGAAATAACAAAAGTGCGGTAAAATCGATGGCCGAAACGACTTCTGCAGTTCTTACACAACGGAACAAAAACACCGGATATCCGTTTCGTCGCGGGCTCTCCTGTAGTTACTTATATTATATAGCGAGTGTATACCAATATATATAATTTTAAATCAGCTGTTAATATCACTGTATACGATCCGATATACTGTCGTGAGCGTCACACTCGAAAAACGTTTAATCCCCCAGCCAGCGTCTAGACCGTGTACCACTGTGAAGCCGGAATTAGTGGTCTGGTGCGGAGGAAGAGGGGGAGATCGTTTTTGAGTAGACATTCCGAGACAAATTTCGTGTACTTACACGACACGGGCATGTCTTTTTTTTGTTTTCCGCGCGTGTATTCTACTTGTCAGTGATGACGTGTATATGACACGCGCGTTCAGAGGTTGCCAAAAACACGAAACAAAAAAATAGTCAAAAACTTGATAACATCGATAAAACACGACGCGAAAATATGCCTCCTTCTGCCTCTCGCTGACTCTCGTACGATATTATTATAAGTAACAAGCTATGTACAATGTATGTATCCAACGCAAACGAGTTAAGCTGCTACACGGGGGCTGAAGTATCCCCCCTCGGATACTATTTCTCTCGTCGGTGGTTAACCCACAAAAATGTGTAATACTTTACATACTCTAACAGTAAATTACATGTAATTAACAACTGTGTACTTTATACTATGATTATATAATAATTGCTATATTTCGTGTCTAACCCACCCTATATACAGTGGCGGCTCGCAAGTAAATTCATTGGGGAGACTGAAAATTTAATAATAATAAAAAAAATGAACCCAAAAAAGATAAAAAAAAACCTTTTTTTGTTATTATAATTGATAGCTTTATAAAAATTATAAGAATTTATAATTATTAAATAATTATAATAATTTAATTACTAGGTACACGCTGCTATACAATGTCAAATAGCTAAATTTAATAGTCTAATACGGGCTCACGACACGCTGCAGTTTTCGTGTTTACAGAAAAATACGTGACGACCGCAATGCGAACGGCAAAAACTTTGGATGAGTCTAGTCTCAATGTACTGAATAACATCTATACAATCTATCCCCGTCCTCCGCCTTGTCATGCATATGCAATTTGATTATATTACATAATTGAGTCTTTCGGACGGCAGACTCTCGAACTAACGACCGTCGTCGTCGTTATCGATATATTTAGCCTGTATTGTTATCGATATATTTTTATATTGTATTGTTATTGAATGCACTCATTATTAATGTAAAAATAGAATACAAAATATTATCAATATTAATATCGAAAACCATGATAATTATTTTCAGAATGGATATAACATAAAAATATTAAATTATAATACAATTTTCTTCAAACTTTTTTATTGCATTACTACTTTTTATTTTTATGGGGAGTCGCCGTCTCAAAGACTCCCCTGACGAGCCACCACTGCCTATATAGGTACCTACACTACGTCCCTGCTCGTAGGTAAAATATATTTTATTATGTGTAATTCGAATTCAGCGACGGTCGATTTGGGCACCAATTATTCCAGCCGTTCGTGGTTCTTGTTTATATTTTTCACGCGTCTCGACGACGGGACTCGGTTGTCACCGCGGCAGACGACGCGTCTAAAACGGTGACAGATCCTCCTGCGATACGAGACATGTCGGTAATGACGACGTCGTCGTCACCGTCGCCGTCGTCGAGTGGGCGCGCAGTAATTATTATTATTATTATATGATTTTTTTTAAAATTGTTATACTCATATATTTTTTTTGTTCGGGAAAACGTCAAAACCGCCGACGAATTTTCGCCCCGCGAACAGACATTTCGACGACTAGCGGTGACGATAATAATAATAATCAGACAAATTAACCGTTGACGTGTATCGTCGGGTCCATGTTTTATTTTAGACTTCTCATATCCCATAATATTATTCATGAATATGTATATTTATATTTCCATCCGCAGCAGAAGTTTATTATTATTTCAAGTTTCGTTGTACGGACACAGCGTAGATCGGTGGTGATACGATTCGTCTCGATCGCTACCGCAGAGACAAAAAATAACTGGCCTTTAATTTTTCTACAGTGTTTATACACACCACGACCACGTCGTCACAACGTCACATTCTGTTCTATCATAATATATCATCGTATTTATGCAAATCGCTATGGTCATAATGTATAATAAATCTATTATTAGATATTATATAATATCTATATTAGGACACTATATGTACTCTCTGGTCTAAACATTTTCGACGATATATAAGCACAAACCCTAACTTTTTTCTTTATACACGTGTAGCGGCTGAAATTAAAATATAATATATTATAAATGAATGGGAATTTGTTAAAAGGGACCCAAGTTACATTTTTGACAAAAATAGTTTTGTTGTATATTATTCATCCTCTTATGTAAGCACATCGTTTACATAAATCAAAGACTGATTCAATAAAATTAGGTACATAAGTTGTTTTTTTTTTTTAATTTTAGTAAAAAAATATTGTTTTTTAAGATTGTTATTCATTTGTTTATATTCAAAGTTCATTATTTAGTTTTCATTGTTATCTATTTAATTGTATAAAATAAATAAGAAGGTATTATATTATTTTAAAATGTGATTATTATATTAAATTATGATACCTTAAATTTATAAAACAATTAGAATTTGTTTAAAGGTACCCATGTCACATTACAAAAATTCGTTATTTATAAAAGTGCAATTTATTTTTAAATAATTAATTTTTTATACAATACTATTTGATCTAAATTGTGACGATTGATCTTATCACGCAAATAGAAATAAAGGAAAACTGTTTTTTGTTTCTCCTGAAAAGTAGTTGAAAATGTACAATCCAACAAATTGCCATACAAAATAATTACAAATATATTATTATAGGCATACGATGCAGCTGCAGCTTTGAAAATTTATATTAGGTATTTTAAACTTTATATAGACGTGGACTTTTTCCAAAAGCCTTTTACCGAATGGAAAATTTTAATTGATTTAGTGGAAGTTGGTGTCAGATATTATAGAGATCTGGATATCCGCTGTCGATCACTGGTCGCA